TAATAATAATAATAATAATAATACTAATAATGGTTAGATTAACTAACGATTTTGCATTAACGTGTAAAAGATTTTTAATAAATGCAAATAATGAAATAACAGAAGAAATCCCTGACAACACTAATGGTTTTACTGTAAATAAAGGTTCAGACAATTCCACGAATAACATAATAACAAAATGTATATGTGATTTCAGAATAAATTTTGATGGATGTCAGGACGAAGAATATATTTTACGACTCTCACAATGGATTTTAATAATATATTCGACAATTATAATCTTGATAGCGATTGGATTCCTTAGTCATAAAATAATAATTAGAAAACAAGCATTTTTTTTACCACCAACTAAAGGACGTGGGATAATCAGACCTATACCACATGATGTTGTTCATGTTCTAACTATTGTTTTTAACCTTTGTAAGTATTTTTTCTATTTTAAAAAAATCGATCTCTTCCTCTATTAAATATTAACCTTGACGTTTTTCCGGTTTAAATTAGTTTTATTGATCCATACATTGATTTTATTGAATGATGCATATCCTAATACGGTTTCTGCAGAAAGTAGGTATATCTCAATTTTTGTATCACGCACACACATCTACACACACATACTCACACAATAAAGCATATTTTCCTTAATTAGTTGGTTCAGATTTATCAAAAGAATTAGGAATTGGCTTAGCAATGATTTATCCAATAAGTATAAGTAAGTCATTACATTCATGATTAAATTTTATAATTTCAATAATCAAAGAAAGATATTAACAAAAAAAATTATTTAAAAAAGTTTACTCAACGCCAGTTCTAGGACTTGAGAAAAAGGGAATTTTAAGTTGTAAACCAAATAAAATTTTGATTGATGCATTAGGATTTTTACTTCTTATCGCACCATTAACCACTTTACTTCCACTTGCTGCGTTAACTGGTCACTATGCCGATCAAAATGATTTAGAAATGGCTATGATGTTTCATAGGTCACATTATTTTATTTGGGTTGTTTGGGGATTGGTTCTTTTAATTTTAATTGCTCTTTCTTGGTTTAAACTGACGTCAACGGTTTTGAAAAATATCAAAGAATCAAGAAAAAAAGAGATTAATGGATATATATCTGATGTGCAATGTACCTCTTCGACGCCCAAAAAAGCTGCTAGAAATGTATGTATATTAATCAATAAATAAATTGGCTTTTTTCAAAAAAAAAAAAAAAAAAACTTTTTTAATAATCGATATTTTTTATTTACATAGTTGGGTGTAGCCATTGTGTTGTTAATAGCTATACTATTAACATATTTGGCCATTTTATTATCATATTCACTATCTCGTAAATCAAACACTCAATTTAATCCCACTATTAATT